GGACATCTCCTCCCCCCCCTACGAGGAGCCGCTGCCCGCCGAGCGCATGGAGCGCTACGTGCTCTACATGGTGAACGGCGAGGGCCACGCGTCCTGCGAGCATCGCCAGAAGGGCTTCAAGCGCTGGGAGTGCAACCGGCCCGCGGCGCCCGGCGGCCCCCTCAAGTTCTCCGAGAAGTTCCAGCTCTTCACCCCCTTCTCGCTGGGCTTCGAGTTCCGCCCGGGCCACGAGTACTACTACATCTGTGCGTGCGCTGCGGGGACGGGCCTCTCGCGAGCAAAACGGGGCAGAAAAAGGCAAATCAAGGAGAGCCGGGGACTCCGGCGCGGGGAGGCCGCCGGCGCCGCGCTCCTCCTTAGCATTTCTCCCCTTTTTTCCTAAAGCATCTGTTTGCAGCCCACTTAATTTGTTCCTTTTATCTATATTAAATTACCATTTCTCCCCTCTTCTCTCTCCCTGGAAAATGTCACTCGTGAAATAACTGCAACCCTGACTCCCTCCACCCCCCGCCCAGCCCTGTTTTATTTTATTTTATTTTTTTATTTTATTTTTAATGTCGTTAGGGCAAGATTACACAGAAGTAAATGGTGGAGCTGATCGTTGCTAACCCGGTTAGAATTCCCGTCATGCGGAACATTAGAAATTATGCCTCTTTGAGGAGCCCTATTTAGCAGACATGAAAGAAAAGAAATTACGTCCTGGCGGAGCTCGCAGATTGGAGCGCCATTAACCCGCGGCCCCCGCCGGCGCCGGGGGGGGGCCCCCCGCCGCCGCGCCGGCATCTCCCGCCGTCGGGCGCGTTTCCCCATTCGGGCATCGCGCAAAGGTGGAAAAAAGGAGGATGCGGGAGATGCTGAGAAGGCAGAGGGAGCGCCCGAGCGTGCGGTTGTGCCCTGGCCCCGCTGCTGCCGCTGGGCATATCCCCACCTCCCGCCTGCAGCTCCTGAAAAAAGAAAGAAAACGAAATTTCTGGGAAAAAAAAAATAAATATTGCATCCTCTCCTCTTTTGAGGGGGCTCTGGCCAGGAGAATTATTGCAATTGCTCCCTTTATCTCCCCCAATGAGCGTGATTTTTGTGCTGGGCTTATTCTCTATTTTGGCTGTTATAGCCGAGGTGTGTGCTGATGTGCAGGATGTGCATGGAGCATCTGGTGTGCACAGTGTGTCCTGTGTGCAGGGTGTGCGTGGAGCATCTGGTGTGCACAGTGTGTCCTGTGTGCAGGGTGTGCGTGGAGCATCTGGTGTGCACAGTGTGTCCTGTGTGCAGGGTGTGCGTGGAGCATCTGGTGTGCACAGTGTGTCCTGTGTGCAGGGTGTGCGTGGAGCATCTGGTGTGCACAGTGTGTCCTGTGTGCAGGGTGTGCGTGGAGCATCTGGTGTGCACAGTGTGTCCTGTGTGCAGGGTGTGCGTGGAGCATCTGGTGTGCACAGTGTGTCCTGTGTGCAGGGTGTGCGTGGAGCATCTGGTGTGCACAGTGTGTCCTGTGTGCAGGGTGTGCGTGGAGCATCTGGTGTGCACAGTGTGTCCTGTGTGCAGGGTGTGCGTGGAGCATCTGGTGTGCACAGTGTGTCCTGTGTGCAGGGTGTGCGTGGAGCATCTGGTGTGCACAGTGTGTCCTGTGTGCAGGGTGTGGCACACAGTGTGTGAGGTGTGTCCTGTGTGCAAGGGGTCCGTGGAGCACCCGGCGTGCCCAATGTGCCCTGTGTGCACGGCGCACACAGTGTGCAAGGTGTGTCCTGTGTGTCGGGTGTGCATGGAGCACACAGTGTGCAAGGTGTGTCCTGTGTGCAGGGTGTGCGTGGAGCACCCGGCGTGCACAATGTGCCCTGTGTGCACGGTGTGCATGGAACACACAGTGCAAGCTGTGTCCTGTGTGCAGGGTGTCCGTGGAGCACCCAGCGTGCAAGGTGTGCCCAGTGTGCAGGGTGTGCATGGCGCATGCGCTGTGCCGAGCGTGCAGCATGCACACGCAGTGGGCACCACGCACCCCTTGCAATTCGGTGTGAGCACCAAGAGGTCGAGCAAGGGGCTTTGGGGGCCGCGGGCGCCCGCGGGTCGTGGGCGCGGGGCGAGTTGGGACGTCCCTGCTCACGCCGCTCTCCTCTCCGTTCCTCCGCAGCCGCCTCTCCCCCCAACACCGTCGACCGGCCCTGCCTGAAGCTCAAGGTTTACGTGAGGCCAACAAGTAAGTGCAGGCACAGGACAGCCTGGGATGCAGGATATGGGATGAGAGATGCGGGATGCGGGATGCGGCATTATGTGTGCTGCGGCCATGCGGGACCGCTCCTCCCTGACACACAGCACTAGCACCCGGTCTCTGCTCACCTGGGAGACTGCCGGGAACATCCCATGGGATCAGGGGAGGACAGAAGCTCCAGAGCCCTTCGGGTCCCTTTCTGTGGGATTGGGAGTAGTTTCCTCCACAGAGATCTTGGCATTTGCTACTGCGAGCCGGATAGGAAAGAGGAAAAACCACTAGCGCTGCTCTCTGCAGACTGGCTACTTTTCAGCATCGAATAACTCAGCCATTTAAAAAAACAAATTAATAATTTTCTTCTCCTGTTAACGTGTAATTAGCAAATGGCAGCAGCTCTCCCCGGGGAAGGGCTGAGTGCCTGCAAAATGTCACCGTTTACAAGGATATCTTTCTCCTTTTTTTTTTTCATTATAATTCGCACAGCTTTAAAATAGGACCCGATATAATGAAACCCCCTGTAAAGACTCATTCTGTTCGGTTCAGGTCTAGGACATAACGGGGAGAAGAGAAGTCTCCTCTTGGTCCTGGCAGCATTCCCATAGCGTCAGGGGATGCTGTGCTGGGTGCGATGCTGCCGGGGAAAGGGCTTCATCCTGGGGCCCCAGATGCTCCGGCTGATCCCACCCCTCCGTGCCGATCCCTGGTGCCTAATCCCGTTTTGCCAGCAGCGATCCCTGCCTGATCCCTTTAACCAAGGTGTTTTCGTGGGAAAAGCCCCCAGGGTGGCGGGCTGCAGCTCGCAGACGAGCGTCCGAGCTCACGCCCCGCTCTC